GGGGGGGGGGGGGGGGTTTGACCCTGGTTTGTTTCTTGGAATTCGGCGCAGATGGACTGCATGAGCGCTTCGTTGAGGACGCCCTTGAGCACCACTAGGTAACGCATCAGCTCTATCGACAAGGCCTCTGCGATGACAGACAGACAGACAGACAGAGAGGGAGGGAGGGAGAAAGCCATTTAGGCTGTGTGTGACCTGTGTGTGTGTGTGTGCGTCATATACCAGTGGTGCTGTATTGGGAGTGCCACACGCGCCCGAAGGGATTGAATGTGCCGTAGATGGACACACTCACCGGGATGCCCAACGCCGCCAAACGCATCTTGGCCTTCACACGCACACAAAAACACACACACAGACGTGTCGGCTGCACACGCTGCACACACACGAGTCCACTCATCTCATAACTCACCTCGGCAAACGCCTCTGGCTGTCTGAAGGGCTCCACAGCACACCACGACAGATCGCCGCTACCCTGCCACACACACACAGAGACAGAGAAGGAGACGTGTGTGTGGTGGTGGTGATGGTGGTTCTGCACTCACAAGTATGTTTGCCCTCTGGTTGTAGGCGAGCTCCTGTGCGGCCCGGCCGCTGAAGACGAAGGGCGAGGGCGTCAGGGTGTGCTTGCCAGCTGCCCATATCCGGGGCAAGTACGAGCTCTGCACATACGCACACACACACACACACACATCCATGTGGAGGGAGGGGTTCATCTGTCTGGTCTTGCTGAGTGAACTGACCACTAGTTTGTGATGGAGGTCCACGACGCAGGCGTGAATGTCTGTGCGGTTGATGAGGTCGAAGAACTGAGCGTTGCCCACATACACGTCTGCACAGCCACAGCCACGCGGAAAACCCCCCACACCCATTCCATTGTGCTGTGCCTGTCTGTCTGCTTCTGTTTGGGTCAGTCAGTGGGCCGCTCACCGACACCCTCGGCGTCCTGCAGCTCTTTCTTGATGCCATCTGCCTCCTCCTGAGCGGATGGACGGATGAGCAGTGGGTGAGCTGTGTGTGTGTGTGTGGTTGTGACGTACCTGGTTGAACGCGAAGATGGCTTTGATTCTGAAGCGCTTGTCGAGGCTCAGTATAGGGGCCTGCTCGTATCTGACACACACACACAGATGAGCCACACAGATGAGCCACACAGATGAGCCACACAGGGAGGGAGGGAGGGAGGGGCTGTGTGTCTGTGTGTGTACCTGTTCCAGAAAGCCCCCCCAATCAGTGCGATGTGGGTCTGGTCCTGGAAACTCTGCAATAGCAACGAACCGTCCATCCATCCATCTGTGTGGTGTGTGTGGGTGTGGGTGTGGTGCCTGCAGTTTGTTGAGGAGCTCGATGGCGGAGGGGTACTTGGGGTCCAGCCGCAGGGCGCCCTCGGCATAGGCACGGGCCTGACACACACACACACCACACAGATGGATGGATGGATGTGTGTGTTTCCCTACTTCTGAGAGTCTGCCCTTGGCCTTGTAGCAGTTGGCGAGGTTGACGTAGGTCGACGGATGGGCCTCCCCCTTCATGTACTGCAAACTCACCTGCACACATAGACACCCGCACCATTGTAGTCTGGATGGATGGATGGATGTGTGTGTGTGTGCGTGTGTGTGCCTGGACCTACCTCGAAGTATTTGATGGCCCTGTCTATGTCGCCGATGCGCATAAAGATGCCCCCCAATATGTCCGGCACGTCCTCGCCGCTCCGCAACTGGTACCAGTTCTCGAAGACCAGCTGCACCATCCCAGACGAAATCGGCCCCCACTGTCAGCCCGTTGTGTGTGTGTGTATGTGTTTGTGACCTCCAGGTCGTGCATGAGGTCGGCGTATCGCCGCTCAGCGCCGTATGTGGGCTGGCATGCGTTGCGGATGTCCTTGTGGAAGGACACGAACACTTCGGTGTCGTGACCCGAGTAGCGAAGCAGCGCCAGGATGTCCTTGAGCGAACACTGAGTGCCCCTGATCAGTTGACGGCCACACACCACATACCCCCCCTCTCTCTCTCTCTGTGTGTGTGTGTGTGTGTCTGTCTGACTGACCCCCATGTGATCTGGTGAGTAAGGGCATTCTTCCACGAGATCAGCGCGTCCGATGGGAAGTCGTAGACGTGGTCGGCGAAGGCCCCCCTGGCTGAGGGGAAGTGGGCAGCCGTCTTGTTGGCCACGCACCAGAGTCCGGTGATCTGGAAGGTGTCCTTGTAAGGCGTGGACGTGTGGAAGCCCCCGAGGGTCTCGAAGTAGACCTTGACGGCGTGCAGGTTGAGCATGAACGACAGCGACCCGTGGATCGCCACATGAGGGTCCTGATAACACACACACACAGAGGGAGAGGGCGAGGGCATGTGGTCCGTGTGTGTGTGTATCCACCCCACCCAAGCCACGGCTGACCCGAACGCCCTGGAAGTCGTCGGCGTCTTTGTAGGCCTTATCGCCGATGATCATCATGAGCCGGTCCCCGCTCAGCGCACGGAGGCTGTTGACCAGCTGGAAGGCCCCCAGCGGCACCACGAACGACACCCTCTCAAACATCTCACCATACCGCTTGATCACGCGAATCACATTGGGGTCGCACAGCAACGGGTGCGCCGGGCCGTCACCGTGGGGGTCTGTCGCTGGTGTGGTAGTGCCGTTGGGTGTCGGTGTGTCTGTGTGTGTGTCGGCGACTTGTGAGTATCCTTCGGGGCATGAGGGCGGCTGCTCTGCTGGCTCGGCAATGGGGCGGCCGGTGTCGATGTCCACTGGCTGATACGCCCACGATAGAGTCATCCTGCAGACAGACAGACAGACAGACATGTGTAGGGGAGGGGGGGAAGGTCTCTCTCTTTCTCTCTGTGTCACTCTCTCTCTGTCTCTCTCTGTCTCTCTCTCTCTGTACCTCGAGATGATGTCCGAGTCCGTGAGGTCGGTCTCGCTCTGTTTGGAATAGAGGGTGGCTAACGCACGGCTGAACTGCTTCTTGTTCACCCTGACACACACACACACACACACAGAGAGAGAGAGATGCGTGGCTGCATGCTCCGGTGTGTGTGTGGAGGGGTCGAGTGTATGTGTGTGTGTGTATCTGTGTGTGTGGTTGCCTGTATCCGTCTGTGACGAGAGAGTCCAGCACATAGTTGCAGATGGCTATGACGGGGCCGTCAGCACCCAGACGACCACCTGGTACACCACAGTGTCTGTGTCTGTGTCTGTGTCTGTGTGTGAGCGGCGGGGGCTGGTACCTACCTTTGATTCTGAGGTCGATTTTGGCGGTCTCGTCGTTGCCGTCAAATATGGCGAAATCCAGCCACCCCTCCTGTCGACACACACACACACACACACACACACACAGAAACACACACACGTGCGCTCTCCCTCTCTGTCTGTGTCTGTGTCTGTGTGTGGGAGGGTTGGGCACCTGAATGAACTCCTGCAGCGAGGCATGGTTCTGGCAGAAGCGAATGTTGGCCTGACAGACACGTCAACACGTGTGCAGTGAGTGCATCGTTCGTGTGTGTCCGGCGTACCTCAGCGAGGTCCGTGTAGACGTATTGGAAGGGGCGGGGCGGCAGACCCAGCGACTCCCACAGATCCTACACACACACAGCCATCCCCC